CTAAGTGGAGTTTGGCTCAGTGGTTAGAATGTTGGCCTGTGGACTAAAGGGTTGTGGATTCGATCCCTGGCCCTGGTCAGGGTGCATGTGGGAAGCAAACAATCAATGTATCGCATTCACATCGATGTTTCTCTCTCTCTCCCCCTCCTCCTTCCCTTCTACTCTCTATAAAAAACAAATGGAAAATATTTCCTTGGGTGAGGATAAAAAAACAAAACAAGTAGCCATACGACCATGACAACTAAGTCACCAGCACATAGCAAGCACTCAAAGGTGAGCTACAACTATCACCATCACTAACCGTCACCATAGACTAGCCTGCACAGGGCCAGACCTGCCTGGCGTTCGGCGTGTCACGTGGCCGTCTCATTTGCTCCTCACAACCCTGTACACAGGCTTTCCTATTACTTCCACTTTGCAGACGAGGAAACTGCCTCCGAGCAGAGTGGAGGCCTAACGGGGGTCACCTCGAGCAGGGCAAGGCGGGACCCAAACCACCTCTGACCCCAAAGCCTCTCCACGGCCCCACACTCACTCCACCCTCTGTGCTTCGCCATGACTAGGGCTGGGACCTCAGGGGCTCGAGTGCGGCCTTCCCTCTGTTGAGACGGGAATGATGCTGAGCTCCCGCCACCCCTGCCCGCGGCCCATATCTTACCATCAAGGCCGGCGCCCCCGCCAGGTTGCCGCCAATCGCAGTGAAGTTAAAAGGGGAGATGGCCGCCACAAAGCCCTGGAGACAGAGGAGGTGGTGAGGCCAAGCTCAAGGTTTCCAGGAGCCCCCGCGCACCCTGCACCGGTGGTACCTCCAGCCCCCGGTACACCACGCTGTTGGTGCTGGGCGGCACGCTGATGGGCTGCTCCCCCTCCAGCTCCACGGCAAACTTGGCGTTGAATCGGAAGAAGTCGATCAGCTCGGCTGCCGCGTCGATCTCCGCTTGGATCACTGTCTTACCCTGCGAGGCGGGAAGGCCAGGGGGTCAGCAGTGGCAGACCTGCCTCCGTTGGCCCTGACGTGGGACCCTGTGCCCACGGTGACTCCTGCCCCGGGGTAAGTACGTGCCCTCGCTAGGCGAGCTGGGCCTAGAACCAGGCGGCCTGTGACTGCAAACATTTCCTTAGACTGTCTGTCCTTCCTGATGGTGAATGTGAGCCGTGGGGAAAGGACTGTGGGCAGCAAAAATGGGCCTTTCCCACCTTGGCACACAGGGTCACTGGCAGCTGCTCGCCCTGCTCGGACATGGTGCCAAGGAAGCTGAGCTAAGACACTGCCCCCTGCTCTGCTCGGCCACTGCGCTTCTTACAACTTCCTGAGTCTTCACATCAAGAGGCACTTTAATCTGTGTGTCTCTTCCTGCCCAGGTGTGGCTCACCTAGGAGTGTGACACCCTGAGACAATCAGACACCTGGCAGGGTGTGGAGCTGTCATACCGCGTCTGTGCAGCAGGGGGAGCTGTCACTGCAGGAGGAGCGCTGGGCTGACCAACCCCTAAAGGCTCCTTCCTGGGGACCATGGGTGAAATTAACGCTTTCTCCCCCCTCAGCCACTCTCTGGCTCAAATGCACTCAGAAAACCTTTATCCAGGAAGACACGATGCAAGGCCCAAAAAGTGGGAGAACATTAACACTTGATTACTGTTCCCGAAAAGCTTGTAAAGGGGCAACAGACACATAGGAAGTCATTCCACCCCAATGCGAACTGAGCTGTAACTGACAAATGAACAGCGTGCTAGGGGGCAGGCTGATCCTTTTGGGCAGAGAAGGTTCTGGAAGCCTCACAGTGGAGGTGATATCTGGGCTGGCCCTTGATGGGTAAGAGTTCACGGGGCACAGAAGAGAGCGAGCACTCAGGGAGGAGACACCAGGCAGAGGCAGGGATATGGGACGCCTATGGTGTCCAGGAATGTCACCAGGTCCAGACTGGCATCATCACAGGGGACGGCAGGAAGGGCAGCAGCTGGCGAGCTGGAGAGAGGTGGGAACTGCAGGGCCCTGGGGGCTGGGCTCGGGATCTGGGATGTGCCTCTCGCTGGTAGACCTCGGTGGTTTGTAAGCCGGAGCAGCCTGCTGGGGTGTCGGGAAAACCTGAGGGTGCCGGGTCCCACCGAGCCTAGGGGACTGCATAGGGCGACTGTCACGCCAGGCAAAGCACGACAAAGGCCTGCTAGGGTGGGGAC